GAAAAAATGCCAAAAGTTTTGAAAATCTAATTTTCTTTATTTCAATTTTGCAAACAAATAATTTTTCTTAATACATTCAGACTAAATGTATTCTGCTACATTTCCTTGGTAAAAAAATAATCCAAATCAGTGTATATTATTTAGTCTGTGTTCAAATTATAGAGTCTTCAGACTTTGGTATATATACAGTATTTGAAAATTGGATTAATCCTGGTGTACTGATGGCCTATCTCATTTCTTGAGCGCCTAAAAATGCCAGGACAGTGCAAAACCCTGTTTGCAAAGTAGACAGTCCAAAGTACATGGTAAGGGGTATGGTGAGTTTTTTTGAAGTTGTAATTTTTTGGTCACAATTTTTTGGAAAATAAAGAAATCAATTTATTTTTCAAATTTTTTTACATACTGTGACCAGAGCAGCACAGTGTTGTCATCTAATTTTTTTCATTTTTTAAGCCTTTTCTATAAAAAAAATACGTTTTTACATACTGTGACCAGAGCAGTACAGTGCTGCCATAGTGACACTATACTATTCTAGGGAAGTGATCCGGATTTTTTTTTTACACTATGATTGCTTATAACAGTGATGACCACTGTTATAAGCAATTATTTTTATGAATGGCATCCATTCATTGCCAGTGTGTATTATTGTAACAACTGTGATTGGGCACAGCTATCACATGGTACAGATAAGCTGCGATTAGCCCTGTCTGTACCATGTGTCCACTGTGACTTGCTATGAAGGAAAGCCATTTATTGTGTACCTAGCGCTCCCCCAAAAAACAAATAAGGAGCAATACATTTTTCTCTGCCACCCACCATTTGCTGTGATTGTCAGCTCATTACAGTGGAAGGTAAGTCCATTTTGAAAAGGTTGCTGATATGCATGGTATGTATGACAGAAGAGACCCTATTGGACTCTTCTGCCATAAATCATCCTCCTGCCTGTCAGCTGTCATGTACACTTAGCCACACATAGCTCAGCGAACATTTATGGCCCTGATCCATGCCACGGTTGGTAAATGCATGAATTAGGCTTTTCTAAGGTGTGATGGTGCAGGATTTAGGGTTTATCCGAGGTCTGTAGATGCAGGAATTTTGCATCACTTTCTATGCTGCACCTAGATGGAATTTTAAATGATGTCTATGACAGTAGATACACACTCACTCGTCTAAATATATGTTCATATGTTTGATTATCTGTCTGTGTTTGTGTCAGTTCAGTTTTTTTTTAGTGCGACATTGAATTTCCATTGCGTGATTGCAGTGTGGGACAAAAGTTAAAATTTTTTTTAAAAGTGTTTTTATCACAGTGTGGTTCTTTTTTTTTTTTTATATCCACATTTTTGGATGAATGAGTAACAAGGGGAACTATGTACCTCATACCCATTCACATTGGGGGGGCAGACATCCAGGGGACCCTTTTTTCAAAGAGGGCCTCCAGATTCTGATTTTCCCCACAGCCCCCACATCCACAAGGCCAGGGGTGTGGGGAAGAGTCCCTAGTCTATATCAACATGGAGGTACCTTGCCAGGGACCCCCCCCCATGTTGAGGGCATGTGGCCTGGTATGGTTTGGGGGGCTCACCCCCCCCCCTTTTCCTAGCCCACGCATTTGGAGCGTCACCCTTAATATCTACCCCAGACCCTCATAGAGGACTGGGGTCTAGTCTATATTTTGGTTGGGGACTCCACTTTTTTTGTGTGGTTGTCCCCCTAAAAATATATACCAGACCCTTTTCAAGGACAAGGGTCTGTTTTTTGTTTTTGAGGGGTACCCCCATGCATTTTTTTAGCAGAGGGCATGTGGCCTAGTAAGGTTGGGGTGGGGGGGACACGCTTCCCCCCCCCTTTCCTTGCATGCTCAGATAAGGATCTGGTTTGGATTTTGGAAAGACCACACACCATTTTTTTGGTGTGGAGCCCCCCTTCCCAGTCCCAATGGGTCCAGTTTGAATTTTGGGGGGGATCCTATGCATTTATTTTTCTTTGGCAGGGGTCACCTTCAAAATCAATACCAGACGGGTCTGGTTTCTGTTTTAATGGGGGACCCCACATTTTTTAATACTGGCGCCCCCCTCAATATATATACCAGATCCTCTTCAAAGACAAGGGTCTGTTTTGGATTTTGAGGGGGTATCCAAACACATTTTTTTAGTGGAGGTCCCCATCAAAGTACATAAAATACAATTGTTTATATACAACTTTGGTGGATTTATTCTTTGTGGAGTCCCCCCTAAAATCCCTCCCAAATTCAGGGGTCACCCTCAAAATCCATAGCTTATATCAATATGAATATTTGGGGGGGCACATTTTTTTTGGGCTGGTGTTCCCCTCAAAATATATGCCTGACCCTCTTTAAGGACAAGGATCTGTTTTGAATTTTGATGGAGTCTCCCTCAAAATACATAACATACAATTGTTTATATGCATACACTTTCTATTGGAGGCACCAGACATCTGAGGGAGGCCTCTTTTCAAAGGGGGCTTGCAGATTCTGATAAGTTCTCCCCACAAGGCCCCCACATCCACTGGGCCGGGGATGTGGGAAAAGGCCCTTCTCCTTATCAACATGGGGACAAAAGACGTTGCCAGGGACCCCCCCCCCGGCAGGGTACCTCCCCCATGTTGAAGGCATGTGGGCTGGTATGGTTAAGGAGGGGCACACTGAGACACCCAGAAGCTTCTACTGCTGGGACCACTGAGACACCCAGAAGCTTCTATATGGACTGGATGAACACTGGAAACACTGGAGGGCATGGAGACAATAGTGGGAGACACTGGGAAATACTAGACAAGTTGCTTGGGAACACAGGGGCTCTGGCTACTAGCACATGGACACCTTCCTGGAACTCCAAGCAACACGCATGCTGGCCCTTTAAGACAGAGCCTGGCCATGGATTGGTGACTGCTATTTTCCTGCATGTCAATGGCCTCACACGGAGAAGAAAATCTGACACTGGAGCATAGAACAGGTGAGCGTGACATTGACCTGAAAAAAAAATGAGACATTATTTCTCATTAAAACTCTTGCACATCCAAAAATAGTACGATTCTACTTACCTCTTGTTGAATTCCAAGTTTTGTGGAGTTCTCCCTTAGGTTCATGCACACATCTGTTTTGTAGGCTCGTGTTCGTAAGCAGAAGAGCAACCGTGGACACTTTACATAATTACATCTGACACCAAAACGTGGGAGCCTAGAGGAAGGATTTCAGCAAATCATTAGAATGTTGAACGTGTGGAGAATGTCATACGAATCTTGGAAGGTGAACTAGATTGTGGAACACAAGAGAACAGAGGTGTCATGTCTATTTCAAAGGCATGTTTTTTCCTGGAACACTGTCAGTACATTTTCTGTCCAGAAGTGATCTAATTCAAAGCAGCACGAATGAACACAATAAACACTTTTAGTTTGTTGCTTTATTCTAATCCTTTTGAAATCTGGAAAGTCTTTCATAATTTTCGAGCAACCATCTAATTGCTGATCAGACTTTCTTCCTCAGATGTTGGAACATTAGAAGAATTTGAAGACTTTGTACAAGCTTCTATTTAATGTAGCAAATATCTGTGGTGGAGGGGTAATATGAGCGAGTGTTCTTGCTTTGGGACCCAGGATTGGAAAGGTTCCCTGATGCTTGTCTTGTAGTAAATCAGGTTTTACTGGGATTGTCCGAGAACAGTGCCGGATTTATAAAGGGGCAATTGGTCCGGGTCTGCTGCCAGCTGGGACCCACCAGCCTCAGATTTCCTTTATAAAAAAAAATGTAATAATTATAAAATTGGTTCTATTAATAAAAAAAATTAACAAATTATGTGTGGGTGTCAGGATGCGGAACAGCAGTCATTGTGTGTTATGTCATTACTGGAGAGCCAATAGAAAGATATTTTCCTTTCCTGCAGACTGGCTCTCACAAGGCTGAAGTACTGACTTCATGTCTGCTAGAATTTCTAGAAAAAGAAGGTATTCATTTTGAATAGTGTTGGGCATGATGTTTGAGTTGAACATAAGTTCGGCTCAAATACCAGGCGTTCGTGTGTTCGGCGAACACATAAATGGTAAGGGCGTTTGGTGGGCTGTTCACCTGCCGCACCCCACAATGCACTGTTAGGGCACAGGTGCAATGCTATGGCCAATCACAGCACATGATGACATCACAAGGGGGCAGGGTGACCCCACCCTCTTTTGACATCATCACAGTATTTAACCACTTGCCTACCAGGCACTTATACCCCCTTATTTACCAGGCCAATTTTCAGCTTTCAGAGCTGCCGCACTTTGATTGACAATTGCGCGGTCATGCAACATTGTACCCATATGAAATTTTGATCATTTTTTTCTCACAAATAGAGCTTTCTTTTGGTGGTATTTAATTGCCACTGGGCGCTTTACTTTTTGCGCTATAAATAAAAAAAGTGCAAAAAATTTGAAAAAAAAAAAAAAGTTTCTTTTATAAAATTTTTCAAACAGGTATTTTTTCTCCTTCACTGATGTGCGTTGATGAGGCAGCACTGATAGGCGGCACTGATAGGCAGTACTAATGAGGTGGCACGGATAGGCGGCACTAATATGCAGCACTGATAGGCGGCACTGATAGGTGACACTGATTATGGGTACTGATAGACAGCACTGACTGGCATCACTGATGGGCACTGACTGGCGGCACTGACTGGCACAACCCCTGGGCACTGACTGGTGGCACTGACTGGCAGCACTGCTGGGCTGCACTGGTGGGTGGCACTGGTGGGCAGCACTGGTGGGTGGGCACAGGTGGGTGGCACTGTTGGGCACAGGTGGGTGGGCACAGGTATGTGGCACTGCAGAGTGGCACAGGTGGGGGCACTGCTGGGCACAGGTGGGGGCAGTGCTGGGCACGGGTGGGCGGAGCTAGTGGGCGCACTGCTGGGCACAGGTGAGCGGAACTTGCGGGTGTCACTGCTGGGCACCGATCATCAGGGCACTGATCATCAGTGCCCTGATGATCGGTGCCGATCCCCGCTCTGACAACTGCCGGTTCTCGGCAGTACTTTCCTCACGATCTGACAGCGTGAGGAAAGTGCAGCCGAGAACCGGCACTTGCATTTCCCTGTGATCAGTGTGTCATTGGACACCGCTGATCAGGTGGTAAAAGGCCGCTGTGATTGGCCTTTTACCACATCACGTGATCAGCTGTGTCCGTAGGACACAGCGATCACGGAGATCGCCGGGTGCGCGCCCCCTGGGGCGCGCAGGAGAGCGCGTTCTGGGACGACGTCATATGACGGCCACCCAGAACTGGCCGGCCGCAGTGCAGCCGTCATTCGGCTATCTGCGGTCGGCAACTAGTTAAGAACTGTCAGACAACGGACCATTTTTTTCTCTTTTTTCAGGTTGGCTGTGGCAGCAGACATTAACGTTGGATCTACTTTGGGGGACATTTTTTTTATTTTTGTTTTTAATAAAGACTATCTACTATCATTTTTTACACTACACACTTTTTTTTTTTTTGTGAAAGAGTAGTGGAGCCATGTACCCAATACCAAGTCACACTGGGGGGCCAGGATCCAGATTCCGATAAGCCCTCCGCCCGCATACCTCCACAACCAGCAGCTATGGTTGTGGGGAAGACACCCTTGTCCCCATCAACATGAGGAAAAGGTGCTTTGAGGGAAACCCCCCTGCCCCAAAGCACTACCCCCATATTGAGGGAATGTGGCCTGATATGGTTCGGGGGGGCGCTTGCTCGTCCCCCCCTTTCCTGACTTGCTGCGTGCTTGGATAAGGGTCTGTATCTTGTTTTAAATTTTGGAGTGCGGGTTCCCTTCAAAATCCATACCAGACCCGAAGGGCTTGGTGTGGATGAGGAGGGGGGCCAATGCAATTTTTTTTTTTCAATTTTTTTAATCGCTGAAACATAGAATGTTTTCACTACTAAAATACTGAATGACTTAATATAACTCATGCGGTATTTTCTTAGCTGTGTGGTATCTTATCGCATACTCAGATGAAGTAAGATAGCACTTAATGAATTGTCCCCTCTGTTCGAAGTTCATGGTCGAACTTTTGTTAGGTCAGGACAGTCCTATGACAATGCCAGCAATATGCCTGGTCACTACTCGGAAATGCAGGCCAGACTTAATATAAGAATTCAACAGCAGTTTTTATTCCCTGTGTTGCTCTCTTATTGAATCTTTTTGGACAGGCTGCTGCCTATTACTGTGTTGAAGCTGTTAGTTATTTTGGCTTCATACAAAGCCTATACACCTTTTTTTCTTTTTTTTTTTTTCTTTGGCAACTCACAGATGGACAAATATAATGAAGTCTTTGGAAGGAAATGAGAAAGCACTAATTAAGTCTCTTTCAAACACTCATTGGTTAGCAAGAGCTGATGCTATTTAAGCCCTTGTAGATGGATACAACTCTGTTCGAAATATTGGAAGTGATTTGGAGCAGACACCTGATGCAAGACATGAAGATTGGGCATTGGGTGACAAAAAGGACTGTCTTAAAACTGCTCTGATGGCTAAGATCTGGAACACAATTCTTATACTGTTTAACAGTACAAGCAAAGATTTCCAAGGCCTTGATGTTGACCTGAAAAAGGTGATGGATCTAACTGATCCTCTGGAGAGGTTTATAGAATCCCTTTGAGATAGGGACGAAGACCTGGAACTGGATGCCAGGAACCTCTGTGGCAATGCAGACTACGTATCATCTACCAGGCCAATAAAGATAAACAAGCAAGATGATGCAAACCCAACATCACTCTCAGAGGAAGCAGTTTTTTCTCCCAGAGAAAACTTCACATGTGAAACTTTCAGTGTTATTTTAGGGCAATTGTCTGTTGCCTTACAAGAGTGCAGGGTAGCATACCAATCAGTGTATGACATGTTCAAAGCAAGAGTTGACTTATGTAGTCTACCTGATGCAGAGATAAAACTGAGGCTAAGATACTTATTAGTGTTTTCCCTTGCGACTTCAGTACAGTAGTGTGTTTGTTGAGGAAATTGTCCAGTTTGCAGCCTTTGCCAAGCTCCAGTCATGTCTCACTCCATCTCAACACACAGTTTTATTACATGATGAAGGGCTTGCTGATACTTTCCAGGTGTTAATGTATCTCTTAGAATATATTTCGGCATGATGGTCGCTAGCTGTTCAGGAGAAAGGTCATTCAGCAAATTGGCACTGATAAAGAATTATCTGAGAACCATAATGACCCATGAAAGACTAAGTGCCTACTGGCTGTTGAGAGCAGTGTCTTCAAGATGATACAGTTTGCTGAGCTAGATTTTGCAGATGCTAAGTGCAAGAAGAAAGACTTTGTAGTCGTATTGTATTGTATTGTAGTGTGATGCATAACTGCCAGTTCCAATTACCCGTGTAATGTATATTCTTACAGTCAATAAAATTGAAAAAAAAAAAAATCAGACGAGCGTCTTCTCTGAAACCTAACACATTTTTTTTTCTGAACAGATGTGGTTTAGCATTCACTTCAGTTCACTTTTTTTATTTGTCATATACTTTATTTTCTATGTTGTGGGACCCCCCGAACTTAAAGTGCCCTGGATCCCCCAAGGTGTAAATCTGGCACTGTCTGATAATGTCGTGTCTTTAGGTATTGAAAGAAGCAGGGCTTGGCATTCTTGAAGTCTAGATGAATCAAAGGCAGAATTTAAAGTGACGCTAAATTATATCCTTATTTTCCAAAAATAAATCATACACATCCACTACTTAACCGCCCTGTAATCCATTTTTATTTATTTTTTTTACACATCCCATAGTCCCGAGTCCAATTCAGGAGTGAGCAAGAAAGGGTTGGCTACATTCTTACATGCAGTGGGACCACGGACAATGAATGTAGCCACCCTCTAAAAGGAAGTTGGATTACAGCAACGTCCTGAAGATGTGGAAGAGACTGAGAGCAATAGAATGTACTTTTCTGAGTTAAAAACACAGTTTCAAGAAAAAGTATGTGAACCCTTTGGGATTACGTGGAGTTTTGCATGGATTGGGCATAAAATGTGCTCTGAACGTCATCTAAGTCACAACAATAGAAGAACACAGTCTGCTGAACATAATACTACACAAACAATAGATGTTGCCATGGTTTAATTGCACATAACATGTAAACATTCACAGTGCAGGGAGGAAAAAGTATGTGAGGCCCTAGCTTAATGACTTCTCTCAGAGCTAATTGGAGCCAGGAGTGAGCCAACCTTGACTCCAATCAGTGTGATGATATTGGATGTGTTGCTGACAGCTGTCCTGCTCTTAAAAAACACACCTGTTTTGGGTTTACTGGTTTCAAGAAGCACTGTCTGATGTGAACCGTGCCTCGCAGAAAAGAGCTCTCAGAAGACCTACAATCAAGAATTGTTGACTTGCATGAAGCTGGAAAGGGTTACAAAAGTATCTCCAAAAGCCTTGATGTTCATGTGTCCATGGTAAGATAGACTGTCTACAAATGGAGAAAGTTTAGCACCGTTGCTACTCTCCCTAGGCGTGGTCATCCTGTAAAAATGACTGCAAGAGCACAGCGCAGAATTCTGCATGAGGTAAAGAAGAATCCCAGAGTGTCAGCTAAAGACCTACAGAAATCTCTGGCGCATGCTAACATTTTTGTTGAAACATCTACAATAAGGAAAACATTAAACAAGAATGGAGTACATGGGAGGACACCACGGAGGAAGCCATTGCTGTCCAAAAACAATATTGCAGCATGTTTGAAGTTTGCAAAAGAGCACCTGGATGTTCCACAGCACTACTGGCAAAATATACTGTGGACAGATGAAAGCAAGATTGAGTTGTTTGGGAAGAACACACAATACTATGTGTGGAGAAAAAAAGGCACAGCACACCCACATCAAAACCTCATCCCCACTGTAAAACATGGCGGGAGCATCATGGTTTGGGGCTGCTTTGCTGCCTCAGGGCCTGGACAGATTGTTGTCATTGATGGGAAAATTGAATTCCAGAGTTTATCAAGACATTTTGCAGGAAAACGTACGACCATCTGTCCGCCAACTGAAGCTCCGCAGAGGATGGGTGATGCAACAGGACAATGACCCAAAGCATACAAGTAATTCAACAAAACAATGGCTGCAACAGCATAGAATACGCCTTCTGGAGTGGCCCAGTCAGAGTCCTGACCTCAACCCGATTGAAATGCTGTGGCATGACCTTAAGAGAGCGATTCACACCAGACTTCCCAAGAATATTGCTACACTGAAACCGTTTTGTGAAGAGGAGTGGTCCAAAATTACTCCAGATTGTTGTGCAGGTCTGATCTGCAACTACAGGAAATGTTTAATTGAGGTTATTGCTGCCAAAGGAGGGTCAACCAGTTATTAAGTCCAAAGGTTCACATACTTTTTCCTCCCTGCACTGTGAATGTTTACATGTTATGTGCAATTAAACCATGGCAACATCTAATGTTTGTGTAGTATTATGCTCAGCAGACTGTGTTCTTCTATTGTTGTGACTTAGATGACGTTCAAAGCACATTTTATGCCCAATTCATGCAAAACTCCACGTAATCCCAAGGGGTTCACATACTTTTTCTTGCAACTGTAGATGCCACATCCTATGTTTATCAAACTGAAAATTACCAAAAAGAATAAGTGGACTTTTAATGCACCATATGTGAAACTCACACAACATAATTTACTTAAACGACAATATAAAGTTTATTAGACAATGAATAAAATCAATAAAACCAATAAAAGTCTGTTACTAAAAAGAGTTTGCAGTGTGATCCTGTACTAAATGCCCATGGTACTGGTGAGGAACGTATATGTTTATCAAACACCCAATCTATTCACAATACTGGATTTTTATTGTGTTGTTGACATCAATTCACAGCACATTAGGTTCGCCTGGCAACGGAGGCCCCCTCTTTTGTGCTGCAGAGACAGATTTTTCTTTTTTCTTAATTGGCTTCCGCCATTTGCACTAATGGTTGCCCCTATGTGTGCTACGATACCCCGATTCCCCTAGTTTGGGGGTAGTCACTCTCTAATAGAGGTAGAGTTTATGGGGTTTTTTTTTTGTTGGTGCCTATGTAGCCAAGTGCCAGCTATGTCACTATGCAGTTCAGGGATACCTACAGGCAGGACTATGATTAAGCCTTTTTTCCCCTAATGCTCAGTGCTGGGACAGCTACATCACTTTCTGTTAGCAGAGTAGAGCCAATTCTCCTGGGCAGCAGAGGATCTTGGGACCTGTTGTTCTACAGCTAATGCATACTGTATTCCTGAGTCCTGACTGAACTACACAAACCAGAGAGCTGGCGAACCAGAAGTATTCTGGCAGAGCAGAAATATTCTACTGTAAGTGGCGGGCGTGCTCTGTCGGTGCGTGATTTGGAGCTGGACGCGGGGAGGCTGCCGTTCTCCTCAAGAGAGATTTTCTGCATTTCTGATATGCCAATCACCGCACTGGGATTGCATCGTATTTACAGGCCACACCATTGCTAGCAGAAGACAGGGGATACCACCATATTAGGAACTTTTCAAATCACAGAAATGAAGCTGCAGTTTCTAGTTAAAGGGACATCTTCCTTTCTAAGGCCATTTTTACTCAAACCTACATAAATGTATACAGGGGTATACATTATATATTGGATTTTCTGCATTCCCCTTGAAACACTGGTGGCCCAGAGAGAGCTGACAAGCCATCAAACCTTCTCTTCCCCCACTTACTGCCAGTGTTGCATTTAAATGATTGAATCTTACTTCACATAACTGTATAATGTGTTTAACATTGCTGATTGACTGTTCCTGTTATACTAGTGTGTTTGCTTTCATGCTTTAACCACTTGCCGACCGCGCATAGCCGAAAGACGGCTTCACCGCGGCCGGCCAGTTCTGAGTGGATGTCATATGACGTCCTCCCAGAACGCGCTCTCCTGCGCGCCCCAGGGGGCGCGCACCCGGCGATCTCCGTGATCGCTGTGTCCTACGGACACAGCTGATCACGTGATGTGGTGAAAGGCCGATCCCACCGGCCTTTTACCACGTGATCAGCGGTGTCCAATGACACGCTGATCACAGGAAAATGCAAGTGCCGGTTCTCGGCTGCACTTTCCTCACGCTGTCAGATCGTGAGGAAAGTACTGCCGAGAACCGGCAGTTGTCAGAGCGGGGATCGGCACCGATCATCAGGGCACTGATGATCAGTGCCCTGATGATCGGTGCCCAGCAGTGACCCCCGCAAGTTCCGATCAGCAGTGCGCCCACTAGCCCCGCCCACCCATTCCCAGCAGTGCCCCCACCTGTGCCCAGCAGTGCCCCCACCTGTGCCCAGCAGTGCACCCACCTGTGCCACTCTGCAGTGCCACCCACCTGTGCCCACCCACCTGTGCCCACCAGTGCCACCCACCTGTGCCCACCAGTGCCACCCACCTGTGCCCACCCACCAGTGCTGTCCACCAGTGCCACCCACCAGTGCAGCCCAGCAGTGCAGCCAGTCAGTGCCACCAGTCAGTGCCCAGGGGTTGTGCCAGTCAGTGCCGCCAGTCAGTGCCCAGAAGTGATGCCAGTCAGTGCCATCTATCAGTACCCATCATCAGTGTCACCTATCAGTGCCGCCTATCAGTGCTGCATATCAGTGCCGCCTATCCGTGACCCCTAATTAGTGCTGTCTATCAGTGCCGCCTATCCGTGCCACCTCATTAGTACTGCCTATCAGTGCCCTTTAGTGCTGCCTATCAGTGCCCATCAGTGCCGCCTATCAGTGCCCATCAGTGCCGCCTCATCAACGCAAATCAGTGAAGGAGAAAAAATACCTGTTTGAAAAATTTTATAAAAGAAACAAATAAACTTTTTTTTTTTTTTCAAATTTTTTGCACTTTTTTTAATTTATAGCGCAAAAAGTAAAGCGCCCAGTGGCGATTAAATACCACCAAAAGAAAGCTCTATTTGTGAGAAAAAAATGATCAAAATTTCATATGGGTACAATGTTGCATGACCGCGCAATTGTCAATCAAAGTGCGGCAGCGCTGAAAGCTGAAAATTGGCCTGGTAAGGAAGGGGGTATAAGTGCCCGGTAGGCAAGTGGTTAACTTGGGTTGTGCATACTTATCGCATTATTCCTTTGGTCTACCCTTTTAAACAAACACTAATATAGAGCTGCTACTAAAGAATTGTGTCTCTTTTAGTATTATCCTCTATTACTGAAATACACCTGAACCCAGAGTGTCAGAGGTGTTGGGAGGCTTGCAAGGTTAGGACAACCACTAGGGAAAAGCACCATCGAGCGGCATCACCAGGGGGGTAGTGCTACACTAGAAAGAGTTTACATCGTGATTCTTTACTAAGAATACTGTTGTCCACATCAGTTCACAATTCTTTACGCTTGATGAGCTTCATAGCCACACGCGGCTTCCTCAGGAGCATAGTACTATGATATCACTGTCTTGTTCAAACCACTTAGACACAACTTAGCATCTCCCAGTGGGCACACTCTACCTCCACTAGAGAGTGACTACCCCAAACAAGGGGAATCGGCATCAGAGTACACATAGGGGCGACCATCAGTGCAAATGGCAGAAGCCAATCCAGAAAAAAAGAAAAATCTGTCTCTGCAGCACAAAAGAATCCCCAACATAGAGGGGGTCTCCAGTCCCATGGCAAGCCTAATGGGCTGTGAATTGATGTGGATAACACTAAGAAAATCCTGCACTGTGAATAGATTGGGCGTTTGATAAACATATATGTCTCTCATCAATACCATTTAGTACAGAATCATGATATAAACTCTTTTTATAATAAAAAAACCTTGGTTTTTGGTTGGTTTTATTGATTTTACTCATTTCTTTTAAGAAAATTGGATTGTTTAAGTTTCACATACGGGGCCTTAAAAGTCCACCATTTGTTTTTGAATTTCAGTGATTTTCAGTCCTTAAAGAGAGTGGTGTTTTCAGGGTCAGTATCAATGGTGGAGAAATGCATTTTGAGCAAAAGAAAGAAGATGAGAAAATATTCCAGAAAATTATTTACAAAGTCTTACAGTTCTGTTTTGATTTACAGTAACATCACACCCCAAGTAAAGACTGCAGGTCTAAACTAATTGTGTTTAAGTATTCAGGGTCTATTCATGGCAAAGGACGTTACATGCATTGGTGCGATGCAGTGCCATAATTCTGAATGGCACCCCAATGCATCTTGCTGACTAACATGTGCCGCTGTGCAGTGTTCTGCCAACAGTCGTGCATTTTTTTTGTGTTAGCCCAGTTAACTGATTGCACACATTATCATCAACTTGCTAACACATGGCAATGGTGTGCATATTATTATTATTATTATTGAGTATTTATAAAGCACCAACAGTTCGCTCAGCGATGTACATTACAATGGGAGACAGAACATGCGACAGTACAATAACAATACAATGCGATACACGAGGGGTTCGAGGGCCCTGCTCCTTGGAGCTTACAATCTAGGAGGGAGGGGATAGTGGTACGGGAGGAAATAGCTGTGGGGGATTGAGTGTTAGGAAGAGTGGAGGAGGTCGGCAATTAGCAGGGGGTGGGGTAGGCTTCCCTGAAGAGGTGGGTTTTCAGGGTGCACCTAAAGGAGAGGAGAGTAGGTGATAGTCTGATGGATTTGGGGTAGGGAGTTCCAGAGGATGGGTGACGTCCTGGAGGCGGACATGTGAGGAGGAGACCAGGGAACTAGAGAGAAGGAGGTCTTGTGAAGAGTGGAGAGTGTGTGTTGGGTGGTACTTGAATATTAGGTCGGTGATGTAATTTGGGGCAGTATGATGGACAGCTTTGTACGTCAGTGTTAGGATTTTGAATTTGATCCGTTGGGCAATCGGAAGCCAGTGGAGGGATTGGCAGAGGGGGGTTGCGGAAACGGAGCGGTTGGCGAGGTGGATGAGTCTGGCTGCCGTATTCAGGATCGACTGAAGTGGGAATAGCCTGTGACGAGGCAGGCCAGTGAGGAGGGAGTTGCAGTAATCGAGTCGTGATATGATGAGGGAGTGGATGAGCTGTTTAGTGGTTTCTGGGGTTAGGAACGTGCGTATTTTGGCGATGTTGCGGAGGAGGTGGAGTCTGCATGAATTTGTTAGTGATTGGACTTGGGGCTGGAAGGATAGATTGGAGTCCAGAATGACACCAAGTACTCTGGCCTGCGGGGCGGGCCTGATGGTGGCATTGTTGGACGTGATGAAGTCAGTGTGGGGGGTAGTGTGTGGGCTGGGGGGAAGACTAGAAGCTCGGTTTTGGAGAGGTTCAGTTTAAGGAAGTGGAGCGACATCCAATCTGATATGTCGTTCAGTAGGCTTGTGATTCGGGTGGAGACTGAGGGGGTGAGGCGAGGGTTCGAGAGATAAATTTGCCTGTCGTCGGTATAGAGGTGGTAGTTGAAGCCTTGAGAGTGCATGAGTTGGCCAAGGGAGGAGGTGTAGATGGAGAAGAGAAGGGGCCTGAGGACAGAGCCTTGAGGGACCCCAACAGAGAGGGGGAGGTGGTAGCGTTATAGGTAACGCTGAAGGAGCGTTGTGATAGGTAGGACGAGAGCCAGAAGAGAGCGGAGTCTCTGAGGCCAAGGGAGTTTAGTTTTTCTTGTATATGCACTCAGACTTCCTAAACCCATGGCCAGATGTACTCACAACAGCCATGCCATCAATTGATATACCAGAATAAAACAAATCATACTGGGTGGTTGTCTCATTGTTATTTGCACCAAACTGTGATAGATATTGTACACTCTCTGGTCTCTTTATTAGGTACATGTGTTCAATTGCTTGATAAGACAGATTGATCAGCCAATCAAATGGCAGCAAATCAGTGCATTTAGGCATGTAGACGTGGTGAAGATGATTTGCTGAAGTTCAAACCGAGCATCAGAATGGGGTAGAAAGGGGATTTAAGTGACTTTGAACGTGGCATGGTTGTTTGTGCCAGACTGGCTGGTCTGAGTATTTCAAAAACTACTGATCTACTGGGATTTTCACGCACAACCATCTCTAGGGTTTACAGAGAATGGTCAGAAAAAGAGAAAATATCCAGTGAGTGGCAGTTGTGTGGATGAAAATGCCATGTTGATGTCAGAGAAGAATGGGCAGACTGGTTGCTGCAACATTCAGATGGTAGGGTCAGAGGTTCATGTAAACAACATGAAAGCATGGATCTATCCTGCCTTGTGTCAATGGTTCAGGCTGGTGGTGGTGGTGTAATGGTGGGGGGAGATATCTTCTTGGCACTAGCAAGGTGTACCTAATAAAGTGACCAGTGAGTGTATCTGCTAGTGTCCATTGTGTAATGGCGGTGGGGGTGGTATATTGCGCTGTTACAATGCAAGGCACTGTTTGCTGTAATCTTTAAACAAAAATGTAATGTATGGATATTTTATACATAGTTACATTAGTCTAGTTTAGGCCAATGTAACTATGTATATAAACCATACCTGGGTGATGCCCCTGGAAGCTGGAAATCATTGAAGTAGACAACCCTACTTCAGTGATCTTAAATTGCTCCCAGGTCCCACTCTGAATGGCTGCCTTGTAACATTCTGAACACAGGAAGTTAGCAGCTTGTATGGAATGCTTTCCATTCCAAAGCGTTCTCCAATTGGATGAAGTTGAGAGGCTGAGTGGTGATGTCACATTCTCCACCTCATCCAATCAGAGATTGCTTTGCAAAGGCAAATGAATACACATAGCACAGCAAAAATCATTCCCCACTGTCGTGTTCAGCAGGCAGTACCAAGCAAATGGGGCAGTGTCGCAATCACGCACGGTGGTGTAGGCTTTTAGCAGTTAAAACAGGCAGTGAGGTGCGACATAACGCCTCTGAAAAGAGGAGTGACCAAACCCTAAGACAAAGTAAAGTTGCAATGCATGGTAGTTTAACCACTTGCCCTCCAGAAGATTTACCCCCCCCCGACCAGGCCAGGAAGGTGCTGCGTTACTTTAACTGACAATTGCGCAGTCATGCAACGCTGCACCCAAATTAAATTTACATCCTTTTTTTCCCACAAATAGAGCTTTTTTTTTGTGGTATTTGATCTCCTGTGCATTTTTTATTTTTTGCGCTATAAACAGAAAAAGACTGACAATTTTGAAAAAAAAAAAAACAATATTTTAGACTTTTTGCTATTAAACATGTCCAGTAAAAAATGTAAAAAATCAAATTTCGTCATAAATTCAGGCCAAAATGTATTCTACTCCATGTCTTTGCTAAAAAAAAATCCCAATACATGTAAATTAATTGGTTTACGTGAAAGGTATAGCGTCTACAAATGGTGATATAGATACTGGAATTTGTTTTTTT